TCTAGATCCCCATGAAGAAACGCTGTCTTCACATCCATCTGCTCAATCTCCATGTCATGCTGAGTTGCCATTGCTAAAAGCAATCTGATAGAAGTATGCTTAACTACGGGTGAAAAGATCTCATCATAATCCACCCCTTCCTTTTGTGAGTACCCTTTAGCCACGAGCCTTGCTTTGAATCTCACGGCATCTTGTTCATGTAGTCCTTCCTTTTTCCTAAATACCCACTTGCATCCAACTAGCTTTCTGTCTTTGGGCTTAGGAACCAACTCCCAAACAGAGTTCTTGTAAAGAGACTCCATTTCTTCTGTCATAGCACTTATCCAACTATCTCGCTCATCACTTGCTATAGCTTCTCGATAAGTAGTTGGATCTCCTTGACTAATGTTGAGAGCATAATTAACTTCGTCTTGGTCAAACCCAAACCTGTCAGGTTTCTTCTTGTTCCGATTAGGTTTGTCCAGTGCTATGCATCTCTGGAATGCAGGTGGATTGTTGGTTGGAGTTCTAACCCTTTGGGATGTCTGGCGGATTAGAGTGCCTTCAATCTGCCCTATTTCTTGCTCCACCTGATTCCTAACTGGTGAACGATGCTGATGCTCATCTTCTTCCTCAAAACCATCAGATTCGGCATCTTGCTCAATTTGCTCCACCTAAGCTTTTTCTTCGTCTGAACTAATTAGCGGAATCTTTGTTGCTTCAATTTCAGCATCGTCTTTCTTCTCCCTACTGCTCTCGACTTTATTCAGAGGCATGGTTGTCTCATCAAAGACAACATCTCGACTGACAACCTTTTTCCTGTTGTTGATATCCCAAAGCTTGAAACCCTTCACTCCTTTCTCAAAACCTAAGAATATGCAATGTGTAGACTTTGGTTTGAGCTTGGACCTTTCATCGCTTGGAATATGTGCATAAGCACTACAGCTGAATATAAACTATCAGGCAATCCTGCATGAAATCGCATGCTCCTCTCTCTTTCCATGAGACTCATCAAATAACTTGCATGATTAACAGCTTATGCCCAAAAACTATCAGGCAATCCTGCATGAAATCGCATGCTCATCTCTCTCTCCATGAGAGTTCGGTTCATCCTCTCAGCAGCTCCATTTTGTTGGGGATTCTTCTTTCCTGTGAAGTGCCTTGTGATGCCTTCTTGCTTGCAGTAATCAGTAAACTCATTACTTGTATATTCACCTCCATTGTCACTTCTCAGGTACTTGATCTTTCTTCTAGTTTGATTCTTGGTTTCTGTTTTCCATTCCTTGAACTTTGCAAAAACCTCGGATTCTGCTTCATGAAATTTTGATCTT